TCAGTCAGTCAGTCAGTCAGTCAGTCAGTCAGTCAGTCAGCTGGAGTCAATCAGTCTGTCAGATGAACTGTGAATTCCATAATCCGGCTGCTTAACTAGTCCGTATACAATTGATAGAAACACTGCCCGACCTAAGTTACTTATTCGATCAATACAACGACACTAGAGCTTGCATAGATTGACAAGCTGTTTCATTCACCACAGTGAGAAACTGTCTACAACCTTCGAGCCTGACGGAACACTGGTGATCTTTCCAGCACGATTTCAGTTTATCTTGGGGTAATCGCCACATGATCGATCCGAAGAATAAACTTAATGTTGTGCCTCAGATGTTTTCCAATCAGTCGAGCGCGCTCTGTGCTTAGACACTGGTCATGACTGACACGATTGCCATTCTCAGGTTTAGCGGGGTCAACCTTGAGTACATACTAAACGACGGGGTTCAGACACTCCAATTGCCTTATCATCGTGTGAACAACTTGAGAGGGTTGTAACTTTTCACTTGACCCCACTGAAAAGAAGTGATATCGATCGATAGTTGGCTTATTAATTGGGGCACACTTAAATGCGCGTACATTTGTGTGATTTGATAAAGAAGCATCAGATGCAAAAATACCTGAGGATTGTGTTATAATGGTGAATTTGTGGATTGATCCAATTGATCCAATCCTCCAAGATAATGTCAACCAGTTTCTGGACAGCGGATCACAGGTCAATGGTATCGACCAATCAAAAGCCATGCAGTTCAAATAAAAGTCGTGTGACTCGGAGTACTAGAACGGTGATTGGTTGATGCCCATTTAATCATTGATATTCCTAATTACATAATAGTTATTCTCGTTGATTTCTTTCAATACATGAACCGTTAATTCTGTGGGCTTCTTCCTGCATCTCGGTGAGGAGAGATTCCAGCATGTTCAATGTTCAATGTTCTTCAATTAGAGGCAGAGGGTAATTTTCCGTATGAGCCTCATCACCACAGACTCGAAGATCTCATTCATGATAGATCTGCATACCACATTGTTCGCAGGACGCTGTCGAGCTTCCTCTTGAACATCTTAGCATACGATTAGTAGTANTGAATATTCTGATTACCACTGTGGTACCTGGTGTAGCACCATGTTGTTGAGTTCTGTACCTCTCCTAACGAAATAATGATGTTCTATCGAGATACGTGCTAGCTCATCAACCGAGTAGTATATAGTTT